ACTGGGGGAGTCGAGGAGCGAGCACCATCTCCAGAACATGCAGTTAAGACAGCCCTGGGCCAGGAAGGGAGGGCACTGAGTGGGTCAGGTGAGCTGGGCACCTACCCCACCCTTCCTGAGCAGCCTCCCCGGGCTGAGACCCGCTATGCCCTTGCTACCCCAAGTGGATGAAGATAAATGCTCCAGGTATCCCTTAGGCCCGCCAAACAGAAGGCAGAGACCTTGCCCCTGACTGTGGCCCTGCGAGCCCAGGCCGTAGCTAAGAGGAGCAGCAGAAGCTGCAGATACAGAGGGGTGCCCTGGAGGAAAGGGGTGGGATCTGGAGGGGGGTGGGAGGCACTGCAGCTTGTGTGATGGATGGTACCTACCAGGGCACTGGTGCAAGCAGCCTTAGAGAAGAGAAGAGCAACTCCGGGGGGGGGGGGCAAGAAGGAGGGGGGGAGGGGTCTTGGGATGCAGTGATTGGACAGACACTTCAGTGAGCTGGGTCCCAGGAAGAGCCTCATAGGGAATGAGCCTAAAGAGAATCCTTTGAGCCCAGGGCGCCAGGAGCCCAAGGGAAGGAAGGGAGCCTATGTTTCTGAACCCCAAATCAGGGCACAGACTGGTCTAGTTTCAGAACTCTGTCATCACCCTGATGGAAACCCCATTCCCATTCAGCTGTCACTCCCCACGCCACCTTCCCAGCCTCCGGCCACCACGAACCTGTTTTCTGTCTCTGTAGATTTCCGTGTTCTGGAGAGTTCATAAAAGTAGAATCATACAATATTTCTCTTTTTGTGTGTTTCTTTCACTTAACATAATTTTTCTTAACATTTATTCATTTTTTGAGAGCCAGAGAGAGAGAGAGAGCGCGTGTGTGTGCGTGCCAGTGAGTGGGGGAGGGGCAGAGAAAGAGGGAGACACAGAATCAGAAGCAGGCTCCAGGCTCTGAGCTGTCAGCACAGAGTCTCGAACCCACGAACCAAAGATCATGACCTAGGCCCACGTCTGCCACTTAACCGACTGAGCCACCCAGGCACCCCAGCATGATGATTTCAAGGTCCATCCATATCATAGTACGTTATCAGAACTTCATTCCTTTTTAAGGCTGACTAATAGAGAGACCACACACTCCATCCATTTATCCATTGAAGGACACTTGGGTCCTTTTCACTTATTCCAAGTTGTTGTGAATGGTGCTGCCATAGATATTCATATACAAGTTTTTGGGGTTTTTTGTTTCTGTTTTGCTTTTGTTTTTGTTTTGGATTCCTGTTTTCAATCCTTTTGTTATATACTCCAGGGCTGGAATTGCTGGGTCATATGGAAACTCTATACTTCATTTACTGAGGACCCACCAAACTGCTTTCCAAGGACGGCTGCACCATCTCACATTCCACCAGCAACACACGAGACTTCCAATTTCTCCACGTCTTCGCCTCAACTTGTTACCACCTGTGTTTTTAGCCATAGCCGCCAGGTGTGCTGGTCACTGATTTTTTTTCTAAATTTTTTTTTATTCTTTATTTTTGAGAGAGAGACAGAGTGCAAGAGGGGGAGGAACAGAGAGAGAGGGAGGGAGACACAGAATCCCAAGCAGGATCCAGGCTCCCTGAGCCGTCAGCACAGAGCCTGACACAGGGCATGAACTCACGAACTACAAGATCATGACCTGAACCAAGTAGGACGCTTAACCAACTAAGCCACCCAAGTGCCCCTGGTCATTGATTTTTAAGAGACCCAAGACTCCCTTGTTGGGAGAGTAGAGCCCCGAGCGAGGGTCTAAGCTGAACATGGCGCTCAGGAAGAGGCCGGCCGGCCCTGCTGTGCTCCGATCTGTGTGCTGGAGTGCAGAGAGGTGTTGCTTCCCTAACTGACCCTGAGCAACGCGCTGATCCTTCCCTGCAATGGGGGCCCACGGAACGAGCAGCTGGCAGCCCCCCACCACGTCCCTGGGCCCTGCCACGTGTCCCCGTGCCAGCTGGGGTAGGCTCACCAGTCTGCTGGCTCTGTTCCCTAATGTATTTCTGACAGTTACCTTGTCATTGAAATTACTGTTTATAATTGAATTAGATGTTATCGCAATGGATGAAACGAGATTGTACAAACAAGGAGAAATGTTGTCTCTCATGAAAATTCAGTTGAAAGACACAATCTGAGTCAAACAAATAATTAGCTGTCAACTCAGATGGCGGTGACACAAACGTAAATACCTGGGTGGGAGGAGATTGACAGAGTCTGTATGGTTCTAATTGCCAACCACTTTGCAAGGTCCTTTCAGCCTGCTCTCGTCCCCTAAGAACCCAGTGCTGGGTGTTGGGGACGGTGTATCATCAGCATGGATTTCACAAGGAGGGCGACTTGGAAGTCCAGGGGATAGACCCATAATCAAAGCAGACGCCTTAAGGGGATCAGTGACTGTACACCTTGTGAAAGTTAAAATAAAATGTGTTTTAGGGGTCTAATTATGTTCCCAAAAATAATATGCAGGAGTTCTAAACCCCAGGACCTATAAATGTGACTATATTTGGAAACAGGATCATTGCAGATGTGATTACATTAAGATACAGTCATTGGATGGGCCCCAATATAGCATGAGGGAGAAAGTCGTGTGACCACAGAGGCAGAGATGGGAGTGATGTGGAGTGCCAGCCACCACCCAGATGAGGAAGGGGTGAGGAAGGGTCCTACCCAGGGTCTCAGAGGGAGCATGGCCCTACTGACATGTTGATTTTGGACTTTGTCTCAGTCAGCTTGGGCTGTATAACAAATACCATAGACTGGGTGGTGTAAACGACAAGTACAATTTGACACAGTTCAGGGAGGTTGGGAAGTGTGAGGTCAAGGTGACAGCTGAGTGGGTTCCCCTTGAGAGCTCTGTTCCTGATTTGCAGACTGCTGCTGTCATGCCATATCCTCACGTCATCTCTCTCGTGTCTCTTAAAAGGAAACCAATCCCATTCCTGAGGGTTCAGCTCTGTGACATCGTTACCTTCTGAAGCATCACCTCCAAATACCAAACATGAAGTATGTAGGGGACTTTTTAAGGAGTCCTCTCTTGAAGTGGAACAAACCCATCTGCTACCCAGTCCCAATCATCTGGGACAAATGGGCTGACCACTGTCCCCTGAGCACAACGTAGAGCACAGCAGGAGTTTTGCCAATAGCCTGGATTTCAATCTTGTCTCTATCACCCATGTGTCACCTTGGAAAAGCCTCTTCACTGCCCTGTGCCTTGGTCCCTCCTTACTGAAAAACGGGGTCAATTATAAGGGTGCCTGGGTGGCTCAGTAAGTTAAGAGTCCAGGGGCACCTGGGTGGCTTAGTTGGTTAAGCGTCCGACTTTCGCTTAGGTCATGATCTCGCGGTTCGTGGGTTTGAGCCCCGCGTCGGGCTCTGTGCTGACTGCCAGCTCAGAGCCTGGAGCCTGTTTCAGTCTGTCACTCCCTCTCTCTCTGACCCTCCCCTGCTCACGCTGTCTCTCTCTCTCTCCTAGAAATAAATAAATAAATAAATAAATAAATAAATAAATAAATAAAAACATTAAAAAAAAAAAAAGAGTCCAGCTTTGGCTCAAGTCATGATCTCACGATTTGTGAGTTTCTGCTGTCAGCATGGAGCCCGCTTCAGATCTTCTGTCGCCCTCTCTCTGCACTGCCTCCCATGCACGGTCTCTCTCTCTAAAAAATAAATAAACACTGAAAAAAAAGAAAAAAGAAAAACAGGGTCATTCACTCACACATCCCACACATTTTCTGAGCATTATTTGCTGTTCCAGAATCTGAGAGCAGCAGAGAGATAAAGGTCCCTGTCCTCACGGAACTCGACCAGGGAAATAAACAAGGAAACACATAAACAAAACCCTGAGTTGTAGTAGTGAAAGCTAACAAGGGGGCCTGTTTGCTCCTGGCCATGGTGGTGGAGATAACATTGGAGCCAAGGCCTGAACGATGAGAACAAGCAGCAGGTGAGGCCTCCAGCCTGGGGGCAGAGCCAGGCAGCTCCCTGGACAAGGGAGGTGTCGGTGGGGGGGCTGGATCTGAGGGCAGGGGCTGGGGCCTGTGTAGCGGGCTTCTCTGAGCTCGGGTTTCCTCATCCATGAAATGGGAATGTTCAGGTAAGTTTAAGCTGCTGAAACAGAGAGACCCACAAGAAGCCAATGGCCCCAGGAAGATATTGTATCTCACAGTCTGCAGTGAGCATCCCCTACCACTGTTCATGCAGACATCCAGCATCCTGGTTCCTTTCCTTCCTCTCTTTCTATCCCTTGGGACAATGCCCTCCTCTCCATAGTCAATGGCCTGCCCATGACCGCCCGTGCTTGTGAGAAGGGAAGAGACAAACAAGGAGCCTCGTGGTCTCTGTTAAGGCTCCCGAAGGGCTCACATCATTTCTGCTCAATTCCATTGGCAAGAACTCGACCACATGGCCATTCCTAACTCCAAGGGAGGCTAGAAATGAAATTCTGGTCATGTGTCGATACAAAGAGGTGTGAACTTTGAAGGACAGCACGCAGCCTCAGGCCGGCCAGATATAGTAATACCTCTCTGCAAGGGTCCACGGAGTACACACAAAGTGTCCGGCACTTAGTAACTGCTCAGTAAAAGTTTGCACTAGCTCTGCGGTCAGGGCTCCCAGGAGCTTCAGAATCTCTCTGCTTAATGTCCTCATCTCTTGACCGCTGAAGAAACAGGTGCAGAGAGGAGAGGCATCTGTCCAGTTGCCCCATCAGTAAGGGCCCAAGTTGGTCTTGACTTCGTGTCTGGGATCCTCAACCCCACCCTCCCACCTTGTATTTCGAATTCCCTGACCCAGGCCCACCAAGGACTCAGCAGAGTAGGGACACACATGGCCTCTGTGCCAGAGGCAGGGTTAGGGAACAGGATCCTGAGAGGTACCTCGTGCTCCAAAACACTGCCCTGAGCCTGGAGCTGCTTGGCTTTGTGACTAGGTAGGCGTGGCCCCGGCTGGTTTCCCAGACTGGAGGCAGGGGTGCTCTATGACAGAGGACCACACCCGCCCCCCTGGGAGGGGGGACTGCGCTGGGAACAGCAGCCACGTCGGGACGCAGCAGTAGGTGGCTGAGGAGGATGGCTTTCCTGGGATTCTTCCTCCTCCTCCTCCTCCTCTTCACCAGCACCATGGCCCGGGGGGAGTACGGTGTGGTCCACGTGGTGTCAGAAAATTGGAGCAAGGACTACTGCATCTTGTTCAGCTCCGACTATGTCACCCTACCCCGAGACCTGCGCCACGCCCCACTCCTGCCCCTGCGTGATGCTACCACTGCATCCTGGTGCCCAGGCCAGGACTCCTCCCTCTGGGCCCGGCCTGGCTCCCCCAGCCCGCGGCCCCTCCGCCACACCACCGCCATGGTTATGAGGGGCAACTGCAGCTTCTACGCTAAGGGCTGGCTGGCTCAAGGCCAAGGCGCCCATGGGCTGCTCATCGTGAGCCGGGTCAGTGACCAACAGTGTTCGGACACCACCCTGGCGTCCCAGGACCCCCACAAGCCCCTGCCCGACCTCGCCATCCCTGTGGCCGTGCTCCGATACAACGACATGCTCGACATCCTCAGCCACACCCATGGCAGCGCCGAGGTCCGCGTGGCCCTGTATGCGCCCCCCGAGCCCATCCTCGACTACAATATGGTGGTCATCTTCGTCCTGGCTGTAGGCACCGTGGCTGCTGGCGGCTACTGGGCTGGCCTGACCGAGGCCGACCGGCTGCAGCGGCGCCGGGCCCGGGGAGGAGGGGGGCCTGGCGGGCACAACCAGCAGGAAGCAGGGGCAGCCCGGTGGGGACAGGAGGAGGAAGACCACGACGCGCCGGTGGACTTCACGCCAGCCATCACGGGCGCGGTGGTCACCATGTCCTGCTCCATCATGCTGCTCCTCTACTTCTTCTACGATCGCTTCGTCTATGTCATGATCGCCATCTTCTGTCTGGGTGCGGGCACTGGCCTCTACAGCTGCCTGGCACCCCTGGTGCGCCGCCTGGTCCTGCCCGGCCGCCACCGCGCCTGTCTGCAGCCGCCCCTGCTGCTGCTGGGCGGCCTGTGCACCGTGGTGACCATCCTCTGGGTCGCCCACCGGAACGAGGACAGCTGGGCGTGGCTGCTTCAGGACACGCTTGGCGTGGCCTACTGCCTTTTTGTCCTGCGGCGCGTGCGGCTGCCCACACTCAAAAACTGTGCCTCTTTCCTGCTGGCTCTGCTGGCCTTCGACGTCTTCTTCGTCTTCGTCACACCCCTCCTTACCAGGACCGGCGAGAGCGTCATGGTGGGCGTGGCGGCAGGCCCAGCAGATTCCGTGAGCCACGAGAGGCTGCCCATGGTGCTCAAAGTGCCCCGGCTGAGCTTCTCAGCCTTGTCCCTGTGTGACCAGCCCTTCTCCATCCTCGGCTTCGGTGACATCGTGGTCCCTGGCTTTCTGGTGGCCTACTGTCACCGCTTTGATGTGCAAATCCGCTCGCGCCAGGTCTACTTTGTGGCCTGCACCCTGGCCTATGCCGTGGGCCTGCTGGTCACTTTTGGTGCCATGGTCCTCATGCAGATAGGCCAGCCCGCCCTGCTGTACCTGGTGTCCAGCACCCTGCTCACCAGCCTGGCAGTGGCCGCCTGCCGCCAAGAGCTTACCCTCTTCTGGACGGGCCAGGGCAGGGCCAAGACACCCTCCCAGCCTGTGGCAGGGCCAAGTGGCGCCCTTTCATTTGGCTCTGAGCAGAAGCAGGAGGCTATGGCAGACGCCCACATGGCCAGCGAGTTTGAGGGGGCCACCAGCCACCTGGCAGGGGACTTAGACAGCAACCTTGAAGAGGACTCGGCAGAGACTGCCACCATGTCCGAGGACGAAGCCACTGGTCCAGACGGCCGTAGTGATAGCTCCGAGGGCTGGAGCGATGCCAACCTGGACGCTGACGGATTTCCCCGTGCCTCCCCTGGGGCCTCTGAGGAGCGGATGCCACCGACGCCCATGGCCCTGCGGACGCCTCTGATGCCACCGCCCTCGGAGCTGGGCCACGCGCAGGCCCAGCCCCAGGCCCACGGTGCCAACCTGCCCTGGACGGGGCTCCACAAGAGGAAGGGCTTGAAGGTAAAGAAGAGCGTGTCGACCCAGGCTCCCTTGTGAACCGGAACCCTGAGACACTTGCCTCTAGACGGTCCCACAGAATATCTCAGAGCAAAGCCACACGTGGTCAGAAGGAAACCAGGGCATTAAAGATATTCCGTATCTATCCGCAGAGCTCCATTGTTTCCTGGGACTGTAAGAAAGCAGTGACCACAGAGAAGTCCATGCAGGGTCCGGAGGGTCCTTAGGATAGGTGCTGTCCCCAAATCGTGCAGAGTGGAAATCAGGCTCAGAGAGGGCTCAGGACTCACGCAAGGTTACTTGGCAAGGCCAGGGCTTACTGGACAGCGACTTCCTTCTCCCCACCTGCCCAGCCTCCAAGCCAGAGCCCCAGCTCCTCAACTCAGCTTGGTGGACAGGTCCCATCCCTCATCACCCATCTTTTCCTCATGCTCAGGTCCAACTGAACCATCTCTGCTCTTTGATCACACACACACACACACACACACACCCTCTTCTTTGCACATGCCATTCCCTCTGGCTGGGATGCCCTTCTCATCCCAGACAGAAATACCCCAGCCAGGTTCCTAGGCACCCTTCAAGCGCCAGCTTACATCCACTCTTTCCCCCAAACATCCCTGCTCAAGGCATCTTGGAGAGCAGCACACGCTCAGCGTGTCCCTGTACTCATCCACCCGTAGCCACAGACATTGAGTCTGCACCTGCTGTGTGCACCACCTTGTGGTGGGCACAGAAGGAGGCTGCTGTCTAGTTGAGAGAAGGGTGAGGAGTCGAGAACAGACGAGAAACAACCCTAGAATCATCTCAAACCAGGGGGGAAGAGATTGGAGCCCGAGTGGAAAGATTTAGAAGGCCAGGGCCCTGGATCCCACGCTTCCCTCACTGATTCTGGATGGGGACCAGTCCTTTCTGGCTTCAGTAGTCTCATCTTCAAGATGGGACTTATAATACCACATCTACCTGGAGGCAGGGGCATGGACAAGATGACCTCTTGAGTACCTCCATGGTTTTTGAGGCTGGATGGTGTGGTTATATGTTGCTTAAGCAGAGGAAGTAAACCCTGGGGTCAGGAAGGCGTCCTGGAAGAGTCCATGTTGGAAGTGAGGGAATCATACCCACAGAGGCAGTGTGATCCAATGGTTAGGGTTCTTGAACCAGCTGGCCCCCCAGAAATTCCAGCTCTACCACTGACCCACAGCGTGTCACTGAGCAAGTGTGTCATTGGGCAAGTGACTTAATATCTTAGGGACATGGTTTCCTCATCTGCAAAATGGGATAATAACAGCAACTCTACTTATCATAGGATTTGGGGGAGGTTGGAACCAGTTGACTTATATAAAGTGATGACATGATGCTTTATGAATGTTCATTCTGTTTCTATTACCGCCCCCCCCCCCAATCCAATGCCCACAGGCTTTTGAGTTCTGGTCCCAACTTTCCCCACAAGCCCTCCACACCCAGCACCCGTCCCTACCTCCTCGAGTCAGGATGTATACAGCAGGCACCCCCACACCCATCTTCCCCCAACAGGGTTCACCCACCTGGAACTTCCTGCTTCTCCACCCCCAGAATTGGGACTGGCTGGCTCCTTCTCCTTCTAGCCCCAACTCAAATGCGCCCTCCCCAACAAGGAGGCTTTCCTTGACGACCCTTACTGAAGGGTCCCCAGCCTCCTACACCTGCTTGCTAGTTTTCTCGTCTCCCCAATTCAACATCAGCTTCATGAGAGCAGAGGCCCCTCTGTCTTATCCAAGTATATGTGGTTCCAGAGCCCTGAACAGGGATGGTGTGTCATAGGTGCTTGATTTATGTTTGTTAGAGGAATGAATTAATGGACAAACGAATGAATGTACAAGTGAATGGGGAATTGATCCAGCATGAACTGTGGAGGAAAAGGGGACACCATGGAGAAGACCCCACTGAGCAGCCCACCGCCCTGGGCTCCTGCGAGGGCCTTGGTCAGTGTGGCGAGGGGACTCTGAGGGGCTGGCTGCGCCCTGGGCATGCAGGGGTGCAGGTATTAGGCATCTAGAAGAAAGCCCCCTCACTGACCTCTCTGTAAATGGCACCTGAAAGCCCGAGCCGGCCAAGGGCAGAGCGCAGAGCCTGGGCCAGGACACTGACCGGCCGGACTGGCAGCCTCCTCTACTGGAGCCGGCAGCCATCTGGCCCGAACAGAGGGGCCTCCGCAGGCGCTGGCTCACTCCCAGCTCAGGCAGCCTCCCTACTGCCGCCCTGCGTCACTGGGCCTCCCAGGGGTGGGCCACATCCCTCCACCAGGCCTGATGGGGAAGGCTCGTGGCCCCCCTCACCCCCAGATGGGAGGGGGGACAAAGGACGTCGTCCATCCCAGGCATTTGTGGTCAGAGCAGCTCCCTACGGCAGGACTTATGTCTATCTCCAAGAAGAGGGTTCTCAAGGGGAGGGCCTGAGGGGAGAAGTCCCCACCCTCCATCCGTGTCTGAACACCCTGGACTCAGGGGAGGGCGGGTTGGCCTCTGTCCTCACTGCTCTACCCAGCAGAGGCAAACATTCAGAGGACACGCGATCTATAAGATGGGGAGAGTTAATGCGGTCTACCTCGGGGCTGTGGTGAGTACAGACTGTACGGGTCAGGGATTGAGCCCGGGCCCCAAGAATCTTGCAAGCACTGCTACTGCTCCTCTGGTGGCCCATGGGCCCCTGCTCCTGCCCCGACCCCAGGACCAATGTCTCCTTTTAGCTGTGGGCTCTGCCTCACTTTGCCAATCCACTTCCCAGGGACTGGGTTGAAGCCAGGTGGCCGGAGCAAGGTGCCACCTGTCAGAGGGGCCCAGAGCTGGCAGCCCCCAACCCCCAGAGGGACACAGGATGCTGCACATGTGCATACACACACCTGAACACGCATGAAGATGTGCACACACGTCCATACGGGGCCCTCGGGTACACATGCGCACACATACGTGTGCTTCCACATGCGTGTGCACACTCACCCCCCAGCACATGCTCCTGTACTGGGCCCTCGCACACACCTGTGCACACATGTGCACCTGGGCTCTGATCTATTGCTGCTGTTCCCTTCAGACCCAGCGCTTTCCCACCAGGCCTGCCTTGGGCCTGAGGGCGCGAGGGTGCTGATGCCTGGACTTCCCACCCTGGAGGGCAGGGCGGCCCTTTCCCGGTGGGGCAGACATTGAAATGCGATGTGCAGACGCCCCTTCAGGGAGGGCGTGTGGTCGCCAGCCCCCTCTAGGGGCGTCCTCAGCATTCCAGCCCAGACTGCTTTGCAGGAAGATGGGGGCCATAGAGGGCCAGCTAATGACCAAGCAAGACAGCGGTGCCCGGGCTTGGACATCTCCACCCAACAGGGGGCTCCTCAGACAGGCAGGCTTTGCCCCCGAGCCCCGAGCCCCTGGCAGAGATGGTGGCAGGCTGGCATCCCAGCCTGATGGCTCGTCCTGCCCGCTCCTGCTTCCTCTACTTCCTGGGCATTCCTGACCCCATCTTAGCATCTGCTTCTGGGAGAGCACCACCTGTGACGGGCACAGCCTAAGACGGGGCCAAGGCAGAAACCAGCTTCCCCAGGCCACGTGCAGGGCTCCAGGTGGCCAAGCCCTGGTTCTGGGGCTGTGCTGTGCTCAGGCTATCCAGCATTTCTCTTTGTGGCCTCATTTAATCCAGGCAAGAACTCCATGAGGTGAATAGGGGCAGCCTTAGCTTTTTTGAGTTCATAAAGAGTTTGGTGTGCTTCTGGAGAGAGAGAACCAGCAAGGACCCATGAGGTGCTCTAATCCATAGATGAGGAAAGAAAAGCCCAGAGAGGGTCAGGACCTATCCAAAGTCACACAGCAATGGGATAGCAGAAATAGAACACAACTCTGGTCTTCTACCTCCCAGCACAACAGCTGGGGCAGCTTCATGCCTCAATACCCGCTCCTGCACACATCCTGGAGGGCAAAGCATCCCTTTTCCAAGAGAACTCGGGATCTACTCAGTCCTCTACCCTGTGCCCCTCAGGAGGCACAGCCCTCCATTCTCATTGAGGAGTAGTTGTGTGTGTTGATAAAGGAAGGTTTGTGACTCAGTGTGACGCATCCCCTCAGCGCAGGAGGACACGGCTGGACTCTGAGTCACTGAGACCTCAAAGCTGAGCGTTGTTCTTCACTCGCCCCATGACACTAAACAACCAAGGCCACTCCTCTGTGCCTCAATATCCTCATCCGTAAAATGGGTTTTTGCTAAGACTTACCTTGTGGGTTTGTTGTAAGGATGAAATGAGGGGAGATATGTGTATAAACTGCTAACATTTGCCAAGTGCTAACAACAGACTAGGTGTATACATTGTCTCAGTACAAGACACCAGGTTTTAGAGCAGAAATCTCCAGCACGGCACGTAAATACTCCCAAATGCCATCTTTCCCAAATCAGCTTATAGTTCCTCAGGATTGAGCTCCCAGAGATGGAGCCATCCTCTTCTTTCGATCCCTCCATTCATGCCCAGTGGGATGTGGCGGGTGGGCGGGTGAACAAGGCCACCACCAGCGAGCCAGGCAGGGGGGTCCCTCTGTAGTTAGATGGAAGCAGGGAAGGTTTTGTGCCTTTTTTTCCAGCAACGCTGAATTTTGAGCGCTTTTGTGCTGCCACTTGCTGGTCAGTAAGATAAGAGCAGGTGGGCTCACCCAAAGGGCAAGGAAGGGGCATTCGATTAGGGAACTTTGGAATAATTACAATTAGGGATGATATTCCAAAAATATATACTAACTTACCCATCAGCAGGGTTCTGAAGCCCTCTTGGGCCCAGGGTTAACCCTTTAGAAGCTTGCTGTGAGAAGGTGGAGGTGTCTTGGAGTCTGAGTATTTTGATATATGAAATGAATTCGCTTCAACACAGAATGTCCTTAATGCTTGACGATGGTTCACGCTCTGATGCTCAACCCTTCTTATAAAATCAGGCCACTGTGGGGCGCCTGGGCGGCTCAGTCGGTTGAGCATCATGATCTTGGGGTTTGACCCAGGTCATGATCTTGGGACTCGTGAGTTTGAGCTCCACATCGGGCTTGCTGCTGTCAGCCTGTCAGTGAGGAACCTGCATCAGATCCTCTGTTCCCTTCTCTTTGCCTCTCCTCCGCTTTCGCTCTCCCCAAAATAAATAATTAAAAAAAAAAAAAAGAA